AATCTCAGGTTATACATCCAGGAAAAGAATATAAAGCCATACCTTGAACACCGGGAAAACAGCAGACTGAAAAACTTACTGACTCTGAAAAGCGCGTCAGGGTCGTAAGACAAAGAACTGAACACAAGATCCCAACTTACCACTGTGAAAAAATGTATCATGAACCTTGGAAGCACAATCAATAGCACAGAAAGAAAGGGGATTTTATCCATATGTAGATTACCAACAAAACTCCACCCTGTAACCCTTAAAAAATTACAAATTTGTGAAGGGATTAAGGAAGACAAGCATAACACAAGATTCTAGGAAGTCAATCCATGCATTTCATCCAAAAAATATGAAGAGCACACTCCTTTTCTTTAGTCTTAAATGCATTCCCAGCAGAAAAATGCAAGATACTACTGACCTCTTTTGCAGAGCCATCCCTTCCCCTTCTCCTGTAAGTGTCAGCAGAAGTCAAATTCTAACCACAAGACAGACATGCACTTTTAACAGGGGAATTGCTAACTATTGAAATACCCCATCAAAAGAAGACTTAGATCACGTTTTATGCCCTTTACAAGAGCCAGTGCCTTTCTCTAGCATAAAAACTTAACCTTCACAGGTAAGACTAGATGAAGTGTATCAAACTCTCTTAACTGCTCATATGAAGCAGGCAGGGACACTTCACTGGATGTCCAGTCTTATCTGATAAAGGCCTTTCTGAAGTTTCTGCCTTTATGTTTAGCAATGTAAAATTTTACACAGCTGATAATGAATCCCCTCAGCACACTATTTACCCTCATCTTCCTCAGCAAGCCAGTGACCCGACGATCTGTAACAGATTTCTTCCCACTTAGATTTCCAGAAGCCATCCTGCTATAGCTGATAGAGCACTACAGCTGATACAGAATCAAAAGCCTAAGACAAACAATATCAAACAAATATTAGGCCTCTGTCACCTACATATCAGAAAGACTTCAAAACTTCCCCCACTAAAAAAGCCTCGCAAAAATGCCATAAATTGAAAGAGAAATTCTAAATTCCTCATCCTTCACAATGGACAACACAATTTTACAGTAGCAGTTTATCATTAGAACTCGTGAATTACAAACCAATTTCTATATTCACTATTTTTTTCCCAGCTCCATTTAAAGTAATAGTAGCAATGTTGCAAAAATAGCTTTGATATCTTGTTAAGTCACAGAGATTCACTTGCATTATTTCTTTTGTTACTAAAAATCTTTAAAAAATTATTCCCTTCCATTTCACTGCAGCCCATTAGTACCTACATGCAAAGAAGGAATATGGCACATGAAGGCTTTCACCAGAACAAACCAACCTCAGCTAGATACAAAAAATATTTTCAATGTTTACCTACTAAAATACATTATTATTTGAAATATATCACCTGCTACTGACCTCATTAAGCAGCTATTCAAACACTAATCTTATTGCTGCTTCTGCTTTCAATGTTTAAGGACATTATTAATCAACCTACTGCAAATCCTGATAATGAAGCACAGTCTACTTCAAGAAGCTGTTCTCAATGTTTACAGAATCTTCTTCCTACAGAGATTCAGTCAAGTCATCATGGTGTACCACTTACAGAAATAACTGGTTAATAATTTTCTGAACATATCTGCAGCAAAACCATGCCAGAGACAAACTATTTGGCATGCACACTCAGAAAAAGAAGAAAGGATCTTAAGGTTTTCGGTTACTATTCTGTCAACTGCAGTTTATGATGGAAATTAAACTCTGTCATACTCTTCAGCTTCAGACAATGAGATACATATTTAGAATAAATACACATATTCTAAATGACCATGTATCAAATGCTATGGCAGCATGAGTACTTGTGAAATTCATCATGTCAACAAAGCTGCTACAGTTCTGTAACTCCAAGTTTTCCAACCAAAGGCTTAAATGACAGATACTGCTTACCACCTACATTCTGTGCGTGCACGTTTTTAGAAGATGATTTCACTCAGTGCTCTTCTTATGAGCAGAAGGTGTAGTCTAGTTCATTCTGGGCTTCCACTGAAATAAAAATATTATTTGAAAATTTTGCTTTGAAAAAAAGCCTATCATCCAACCTGCTACTCCCCAGAAACTTAAAAGTGAAGAGAGAAATCACAACCAATTTCTGATGCCAACCAGTGAACAATGAAGCTGTTTGTAATACAAACCCCCACACTCTGGAAGCAGAAAAGTTTTCAAAAGTGTTTTTTTTTTAAAGATGCTTTGTCTTTCATTTTAAGAGGTGTAACTGAAATAATAAATGCATTAAACGCTACCTCCTCTCTCTTACTTTTCAATATATGTACACACAAGCCTCCATTTAACAGGTTCCACTTAAACAATATGCTTACCACTTCATACTAACTTGAAAGAACAGAATTAATGACCTAAAGAATTTTCAAACCAGAGTAAATTACTATGGCCTATTATTTATCGTAATAAGCACATGAGTAGTTCTGCAATATGTGTTTACTGCTATGTAAATACAAACGCATTTGCAGGATTGGGCCACGGAGAGAACATGTTAATTGAAACCAGATGTAGTAATACAGACAGGTCCTAACAGTGACGGAGCTGCAGTCTGCGACGTGAATCTCGACAGCATTCAATGCCCTTTGACTCTGCCACTATGTAAAACAAATGGGAGAAATTAGAGCAGCAGTGAAAGGTTTTTGCAAACTATGTTCTGTCCTTGTTAAACACAAATCATTAGCACTGCATACATTTGTGACTCTAAAACCAGTAAGAGTCTTTTGGTGTCATTTCAACCGTTTGTCCTCAGCAGTCCAGTTTCACAAATTCAAATGCATTACATGTTCAATCTTGCAAAATCTACCATAGTCTAGAAATATGTATTTTTTTAATAAAAGCCAGTGGTGTAGCACAAGGCACGAGACTTATTCAATATAAACACTTTGTGTATTCAACATATTCAATAAAAACACTTTGTGTATTAGAAAAAAGCTGGAATCATATACACAAATTTATAGTACTTAGGGCTTCCCATTAATTAAACAAATTATTTCTCACACAAGAAACATTAATAGCTCTCAAGTAGGACAGTGCTCAAAGTCCCAAGGCAATTATATAATTAGTCATTTTTAGACAGAATATTATGGTACACAATATTGGAATTGAACAATGACAGTCTCTTGAGCAAGTCAGGATTTTGATACATATTACATGTATGTTTATACTGTCCTAGATAGCTTAGTGAACCATTAGGAAGTCCTGACACCAAGATTCTATTGGATCAAATACACATATTCTGTTAATTATTAAATCCTTAAATGTTCAACGGCAAACACTGCATTTCATTTTAACACTTGATCTCCACTGGATCAAGCCAATTACTAAAAATAACTAGTTATCTGTCTATGATCTGTTATCCATCTGCTCCTTTCCAAAAGGAGCTGCCACAGCACCATTAGGTGAGGCTCAGTGATTACAGCTGGAAAAGGGACAGATCACCTGAACCATCAAGCCCATGTTTCCCTGCAGCAGGGCAGACCATGGAACTATCAAAACCACATACCATTCCCACTCTTCCCTCTGACATTTAATTACCTGCCAAGCAGCTTTAGATTTATTTTTACTCCCTTTTTAAAAAAAAATTTCCCCCCCTATGGAGAGGGAAGGCTTGTGGGTAGTACTTTGAAATCAGAGTGCTAGATTAAGAATATTCTTAGAGACATCACATTAATTTATCATTTTACTATACATAAAGAGACAATACGGTAACTAGGTTGTGAAAAACAAAGGATGTTTACAGCACCTCAGCAAATGAACTAGCTTCTACATGATCAACACAAAAATGTGAATTTGGTGTTGATTTATGATTGGAAAAATAAAATCCTACATATACAAGGAATATAAACATACTTTGACTATCACAGAACAGTTGCTTAAGACAGACCAAATTAAATAATCAACATGCACTATTCACTGAAGTCCTCAATTTTGCAAACAGTAAGCGTTGCATGCATCTGTTCAGACTAAATGTAAATCAGCCACATGGCTATAAGCTTTAGCCAAGAAAAGAAGTTACCAGGACTCTCTCCCCCCTTCGCTATTTCCTAATCTTGTTTCTAATCAGCTCGTCTGAAGTTATTTCAGTTTCTCTATGTAAGAGTTACACTACCATTTATTTCTCAAAGCTTCAAAAGGCAGGGAAGGAGGTAGAGACACTGAAGGAAAGAAAACAAAATATTCTTCAGAAACAAGTTCTTAAACAGAACCATTAAGTATTGACCACAGTCACAGTTTAAGCACTATTTAATGCTTGTTACCCCCATAAATCCCACTTCCTTACCAGTGTGGGGAAAGAGACACTAACTGATAGATGTTACCTATGTCTTGAAGAACACTGCCATACTGCAGACAGATTTGCCACAGTCATCCTTCATCAAAGGAAAGCAAAACAACGTTTTCCTCTATTAATTTCTTTTTCACTGCAGCTATTTTATAAAACTACATAAAATTTTACAAAGGACAAAAAAATTCTAAAGGAAAAGTAAGTTTTAAGAAGTACATAGCAGAAACTAGTTACAGTTTAAATAAGTATGAATGGCAACTTGAACATTTAACAACCATAAATGTGAACTAATGAATTTAGACAGAAGTGACAACACTAAAAGAAGGAAAATATTCACAAAGTCAATCTGGAACACGATTTCCGATAAACAGATGATCATCCCTAGTTTGTACATATGTTTGGTGTATTTATAGACTTGTTTTTGAAAATAATGCAGAAAGATCATTCAAGGTCATCTCAGAGAAACTCAAATATTGTTGTAAATACTTCTAGAACACAGTAGTAGCAGCCACAGCCTCCCTAACTGTTGGCCTGAGGAACACCTTCCTCACCCATCCAAAGATATATAATTAATTACATGCTGGCATACAGCTTTCAAGTCGCTGACTAGAGTAATGCTATAGTTCTCTTGCATACAAGGAGAAGACAGATTACTGAAAGATAAATCAGACATCCTTTAATCTAGAGTAATCAAATTTTAATCTAAAAGTACATCAATCATCACACTGAATTTGTAGCAAGAGGAATGAGATGCCATCCTTATACATGTGGGACTGCAAAAATATCGCCACTCCCATCTACTTGTGCAGGTTTATTGGGTAACAAACGTACTGGGGAGAATGCAGCCTGCACATACATTTCACAAACTTGGTCAACTCATCATCTCTGAAAACAGCTCTGTCCTGAGGCATCCTCTGAGACACCCATTGAGTGAACTACCAGTTCTATATCCTGTATTATTTGTAATAGAAAAACATGACCAGAATTAGTAAAACCACAAAAGACTACTTCAAAACAGAATGATAACTTCTGCAGCTTATTCTGGATTTCACATATTTTATTGCAAGTACAAGACATGCACCCATTTTGGCCAGAACTTGCAGTTTTATGCTTGCCTTCTTTTTAACATTTAAACGCATATCCAGGCCAATCTATCAGAAGAACTCATGAGTAGATAACCTTCCACAAAAACACTGCATGAAAGGATGCAGCAGATACAATCTTCTTACTTCAATCTCTGTTTTTTGCTTAAAGCGCTGATGAACCCTGATTTCCCATGGCTGGGTCTCTTCACAAGGACTTCAGTATCCCTTCCTTCCTCTGAATCTTGCCCTGGTATCCAACTGAAAATTGAAGTCGATATATTAAAACTATACATTTTGCAAAAGAAATACTTCAGAGTGCTTGTGCTATCTTGGCACTTTGTAACATCAGAAGAAAGCACAGAATAAAGCAGAAGTCACTGTAGCCAACAAGTCATGGGGTTCTTCCAAGGAAACAGACATTATCTTAACCCTCACTCAAAATTTTAATTATGTAATAAACACCCTGTGCATTCTGAAACAGCATAACACCACAAATGACAGAACAGCATAGTGAGGCGGCAAGGAACGCATGAAAACAAGGTAGAGTAAATCTACTTAGACCTGGTTTTCCAGACAACTGACAAGTTGAAGGAGGAAAATTCAGACTGGGTTGAAATAGGAGTTACTGCAAATGTCAGTGAGGACAGGGATAACTTAAATACAACAAGTGTCTGAAAAATAAAAATCAGTAAAAACTGAAATAATATTCAGCTTGTAAAATCTGCAAGTTTCTTCTTGGCAGTTACAAAAAAGCATTTAATGGAAGGCAAAAACTTGCAGTAAAGCTACAATAATAGCTACGGTGCAGCACTTAATGAAACTAAATTGCAAGTTCTTTCCCAGTGCAGCAGAAAACCGTACTCAGATCTTGAGGGCATTCTTCTGACTTTAGTAGTCAGTCTTGAAGATAGCAGTTACAGATTGCAATTCGGCCATATTCAAATATTAGATTGAGGATGTATCTTTTACCTCCCTTAACTAACCCCCCATTCAGGATTCAGAACTGCAGCAAGATTTGTAAAGATCTAAACTGCAAGATGATACGGCCTGTCCAATAACCAAGCAGCTTTCATTTTAAACTTGTTTCTACTTTAAAGCGTACTACTTTAAAGTTTACTTCTCTGGTAAGACATTTCATTACAAAGAAAACAGCATCTACACAAAATGCCTAATGATTTTAGCATATTGTAAATTATATCTGCATTTAGCGTCTAACTTGTTTTTAAATACTCTTTAAGCCTCACTGTTATACCCAGTAACAAATTTGGCAGAGCACAATTACTGAAATTCATAGAGTTAACAGGACTCATCAGCCTTAGAATTTGTAGCAGTTAAACAGATTCATGTAAGAGCCAGGCCTCTTCCTGGCATGGAAGTCCAGGCATGACTGGAGACACTTTGCTAGAAACTTAAGTTTCATCAGCCTCCATTAAAAATGTACAGACAGAAATACAGGCATATCATCTGGAGATATGTATGTTGCTACTGCAGCATCAAATAGGTATTTCAAGCATTAAATACACAGCATTTTTTCCTATACACAGAAATAATCATTTGTCACATTATGGATTAATACAGTTCATATAGGAGAGGTCCAAAAGCTCTTAAGCAAGAATACAGAATGGAATAAAAATCTTAGGTACAGTTTCAGCTGTGTATTCTTAATTATGTATCACATTGGCTAAAAACAAAAATGAGCCCTGCACTAACCCATGGTTAGAAAGTTTTAATACCACCTTTGCCACACCGTAACTATTTCTTAAGTGCTACGGAAACACAAGCAAGGTATTTCTAGACAAGGTACTTGTATCAAAACTGGGGAAACTTTATCTAATTACATTTTTACAACTAGTTTCTCACTACCATACTTGATAACTTACTGTTATAACCCACCCCAACTGTTCTTTATCATGAATTCAAGCCCTCCAAGAAAATTAATGAATGCAAAAGCTGAGCCTGCTTCAACAAGTAAAAATCTCTTTCAGTAATACATTCTTTTCATTTAAATGTTCTTGGTTCATAGACAAAAAATTGTCAATATCTTATCTTACAAGTACCCAATCTAATACTGTTTAAACCAAAGCTTTACTTAAACAAAAAGTAAAACCACCTACTTCATTTACATGTCACATGCTGAGCCTAATTTAATTTAAATATGCCTTTTTTCCATCTTGTTCACACTATACAACTTTTTCTTTGTGAGAATAGTGTACAACATCCATATTTTAAATGGAATTCAAAGGCAAGACCTATTCTGCTCAATTAGCTTTACTGAATTAAAGTGGTTAAGTGTTTTTTTTCAGAAAGCGTGGAAAAAACCAGAAAGCAAGCAGGCCACTAGCAGAAGAAAACCCACTCCACTTACCATTGATCTTTTGCATGCAAAAAATGTCACTTGCAAATTCCTACAGTGTCCTTCCCTCAAACATTGTTTAGGGCTTTTGTTTTCCTGTTAGATGAAAAAGAAAGGATTAAAGACAATGGATTTCTGCAGCTTGTCAAAGAGACATCAAAATACTTCAGACAAGGTTTACTCGGGACTTTGCTACAGCATGGTGAGTTACGTTTTCTTCATAGAATACCAGGCTGGAAGGACCTCAACGATATCAGGTCCAACCTTTCTTGGCAAAAGCACGGGCTAGAGAAGGTGGCCCAGCACAATATTACAAAAAGCATCCAACGTTGGGGAATCCACCACTTCCCCGGGGAGATTATTCCAGTGGCTGATTGTTTTCATTACAAAAAATTATCCTCATATCCAACTGGAATATCCCCAGGAGTAACTTTTACCCATTATCCCTCCTGTTTTCCATTTCCATCTTCTTTGTAACCACCCTTTAAATACTACAACATAGCAATAAGGTCTCCCCTAAGCCTTCTCTTCTCTAAGCTGAACAGACCCAGTTCTCTCAGCTTTCGCAGTCCTTTGATCATCTTTGTGGCCCTCCTCTGGACCCTCTTCTGCCTGTCCACTATTTTTTGGTCTTAAGTTACAATTTAACCTGCTTAAAACACGAATTATCAGGCTTGAAAGTGACGAAATAGCAGCTTCTCTCTCTCTCTCCCGAGGGCCCGTTCACGCCGGCAGGAGGCGGCCGCTGGGGGTATTGGTGGTGTTTGGGTAGGCCCCGGCGAGGCGTAGAGCTGGCTTCGCCGCCATGCCCAAGTACTACGAGGATAAGGAGGAGGACGGACAGGCTTGTAGGGGGGTGAGGGAGGACCTGCGGCAGTGTCTGCTGGAGAGCCCCTGCGTCCTGCAGGTGGGCGCTGCCGCCCTCCCGGGAGACAGCCCTGTGGCTCCCGGACCCTCGTCGCTGCTGTTGCTGCTGCACTCGCTTCCCTCCCCGGTTACGCCCCGAGGGAAGGGTGCCCCGAGGCCCGCTCCCTCGCCCCGCCGGGCCAGGCGCTGGGGAAGCCGCTGTCTGAGGAGGCGGCCCCGCCGCGCCCAC